GCAATAGACTCACCCCTTATTACGTGGGACTCGTATCATAAATAGTGAAAAGTGGGTGTTACATTATATACATACAGTGGCATAATGTACACCTTTGCCTACCTCTTCGGGGATAAAAGGCGTGATGTTATGTATGTATGCATGTGATCACAACGCAACCGTGACAGCAACGGGCCTTTGAAAAAGAATTAGATGTTTTCGTTCTCAAATTATTTTTTCTTTAAACGTTGCCCCCTCACAAGGATTTTCTCCTGTGTCGTGGATACGATTACAAACATACAAGTTCACACACACATGACACCCAGACCTGAAACAACAACTTGTGGATCACACAAAGAGTTACTTTGTGCGGGAATCGAACCCGCTTCACGTTGCGCGGTAGCCTCATAATCAGCCAGTGCGCCAATCGTGCAGTCAGTAAATTGTCAAGTAGTAGGTGTGTAGTAACTAAACCTGATGTGAAAATAAAATATAAGGTAACCACAGCGGTAACATTATAATAAGTAGCGTAATTAGTTAAAAGGCAAGCAATCTCTCAGAAGATTTACTGTCCTAGTCTCACAAGAATGTAGATCAAACAATCAAAACGGAACTCAAAGAGAACTATGCACTAATGAAGTTATTTAAAGTCATGTAGAACTGCATATAGTTGTAGAAGTATGCCTCAGATTCATCTGAATCGAGCTGTGAGGCTACGGGTTATTTCATTAGTCCGCCATATTGGAAATTCCCGCCATTGTCGAAGATTGTCGCCGCCGCGCCGCCATCTTCATTACGTCTTAGCGATTTTAAAATGGCCGCTCTATAGCCCTTTGAGTTTTAAACAAGAAATCCTTTGGCTGTATGATATTGGGAATTTAATTAATGTTTGTCGATTTATTGTTTTGGATTATTAATTTGATAGGGTTGTTGACAAAAGTGGTTAACTGTTTATGTCGGTATTTCTCAAGTTATCGTTTTTTTATATGCCTATTTGCGTTAAACTTTTAGTTGTACTTTAGTCTACCTACTCGTGATTATTCAGATTCATTGTTTGAATATGGACACCGCCATATGCCGTCCATTGGAGATACATGCAAATCATAATATTATTTAGTTCAATAATCGAATTCTAGTTTTCTACTAGCACCAAATCTCAAAAACAAGAACCCGTTTCAAATATACACCAAAATCAACGTAATAAGATTCAGTTTCCATTAATATCACGCATACTTACTCGACGTAATATTGTGCAGAAACCGGGATGCTAACTAGTTTGGCTCCTGCGACGTTGCTTGCATTTTTTATAAGTTGCCGCAGAGTTGGGGACTTTCAATCAGCTTTTGAACAAGCTGCTGAATATTTCATGTATATATTTACGGATAGACCGACGACCGACATTGGGTGAATATGAAAGAAGGCTGGGGACACGTGTGACAGATTACGGTTCATTGTAATTATACTTGATTTGTTTTGTGATGCAAGTTTGTGATAATATCTTCAGAAGTCTTCGAAATATCGTTTTGTATTTTAAACACAATACTTTATACTTTTGCTCTAAAAATGACCCTATCTACCGGGTGGTCCTACTACCTCTAATTTGTATTTGTTACTATGGAATTATCTTGAGGTTATTAGCAATGCTGTTCCCGACTTGTTCCCGATAACAATTGAAATAGGAAAGAACATACTTAGTCAAATCTGTAAACTCATCTATCTGGCATTTCTAGGGCCGATTTTACAATTATCAATTATTATTATTAACTCTGTAAAATAAAATTGATATCCTTGTAGTATGAAAGAATTGTCAAATATTCAAAGTTATGTCTCGGTTAAAATTGACTTGGCGTTGGAAAAATCGGCCCTTAGAAAGTTAAATATAAGGTATCGTTTCGTTCACCTTAAAAAGGCATAATAATATGGTTATTTAAAAAACCTAATACAAAAACGTTAGCCTCATTCACAACCAACATAGTACCCACAAAACACGGGCACATTTCGGTAAATTCGCTAAATTCGCCATGTTCGCCAAATTGCCGCCTCCCCTTAGGGACGTCACAATTATTCGCTGGAGTGTGAATGCTCCTCGTGGATGAGTGGACAGCCCTACGGAACCCTCTCTCGCCATTATCTACGATTGACGCATCGGTTACACCTTTGTACAGCCTACTGCTCTCTCGTTTAAGGTTACAATTCTGTTCAGAATGTATTTAATTACTTTGTCAAGATAGAAATAGTTTTGTATGAATTTTTAGAAACAAAATATACATATGTAATGTCGTTCATCTTTGTACTTAATCAAAAGTTATAAACGCAAGGAAAAATTGGAACTTATCTTCTATTTTATTTAAAAATGATTGTACACATAGATGGTAGTATTAAGATAGAAGTGATTTCCCAACCAACTTATCTATATAAGAAGATAGTCTTTTACAAAAGACACAAAATAATTACAAGACAGATATTTTATTGTTTTCACTATCTAGAGAATTGTAATACGTTTTGGTACAACATCGAATCTGAACATCGAATCGAAAAAGAAATAAAAAACCAAATAACAAAATTGCATCGTATATTAATTACACAAGACTCTATTCACATTGGATCATTATCGTCATCAGCTTCAACAGTAAGACATCAGTTCTTGAACGGAGCAGGACTTCTCACAGCACTCGTCAGCAGGTCCCCTTTTGCCTCGGTTACCAGCAAGAATCCTGGAGCCATGATGGGGCCACCAGCCAGCATCTCTCTTGGACTCATCACTCCAGCAGAGAGCAGCTATAGCTCTTGACAAGGTCCTTCCACAGTAGAACTTATTACCTTCTTGGGCATAGTAACAGGTGAAGCAAGCGAATAAGAAGACACAAATCAGATAGAACTTCATGGCTGAATTGTGTTGGTGTATCAAACGGTGGAGTTGGAATGTGAAGATTCCCATACAGCCCTGTGCTTTTATACTCAGACATAATTATATGCAGATATTAAGCAGGTTTGAACCTAATTGTGTAGGATGTGGAAAATCGTTATGTCATCTTATTGTGGTCTGGATATTATTTTTAGGTAACTTTAAATAAGATTGTTTCTCTGTTACTCTTTCTCAGTTCGACTACATGTTTGTATAAATTGGATGGTGAAATGCAGGTTTAATCATGAATTGAATGCAGAAGAGAATTTATTAAAATTAATGTCAATTTTGATTCTACATACGTACGTATAGTACTTGGCCCTATCTGTAGTAATGTGGTACCTACGTATAGAGCTTTTTATTTCTCATTTTAGTAGAAGCAATATGCTATTGTATATGTATGTGTTATACTGCTATCGGTAAACAACAAACTTTACGCCAGTCCAAGAACATTTACAGACTAGAGGCATCACATATGCGACGTAAACTGTTTGATTGCATCAAAGTTTCTGAAGAAGATGAACTTAACATGGCTTAGTTGGCGAAACAGTAACATATAACCTTTACACAGACATTCTACGAAAGAGTGGTACTGTTGTTCAGGGACAAAATATTCGTTGTTCAGGGACAAAATATTCGAGTAAGCAAACCCAGTTTTTAACTTCAAAAAATAAACGCCATACAAAAACACAACTCGGTAAGTACACAAAGCACCGCTAATTAGTTCGTAACGCTCACATCGACACTACTGTCATTTACACAATGTACATGTGTGGGTAATTTCATATTACTGTGTATAAAAATATTCGTCCACCACGTTCACATTGGTATTTTCATTCTTGTGTCGGTATACGTATTTTTATAATTTAATGCATGGGTAAGGTTAAAACTATTTACAATCATTGATATGACCCGACATTTTCACTGTAATTATCGTAGTGCTCGTGGTCGATTGGTTAATGAGTACGCTTTTATCGTCTTTCAAGGATCAATGATGATGTGGGTTCTATTCCAGCTAAAAGTTTTTTTTTATTTTACCTTGTTGTTTTTCTTATTTATTTTTTTTTTGTTTTTTGTCATATAATATAAATATCAGGCTATAAAAGAAGCAAATCAGTCGGTAAATAAAACAATACTATTTTTTATTAAAATTAATTTATTAATTATACAAATATGTGGTTTTATATTCAATATTTATATCTAATAATTAATTATATACCACATGTTAACTTTAAAGTTCTTCCAATCATTCTAAATTATTCTAAATAATAAATAACTAGAACTAAAATATAAATAAAGGATATTATAGGTATAAATAAATCTAAAGTATTTACTATTAAAATTAACATAAGATTTAGAAAAATAGGATAGGAAAAAAAGAAAAGATTTAATTGTTTCTAATTTCACATTTCAAATATTTGATTAATTAATACTAAAACAACATGTGAATGCTGGAATCGATCCGGTGGCACTTTACTTGACCACTGGAGGCGATAACCATTGCGCCAAGCGCGCCGTAGATGAGAACATCGAAATATTGTATATCATTCAGTAACATAAAAATACAATGAGAATGCACTATATTTATATAAGTATTGTATTGCTCGATCGTTCATTATTTTTGATTTCGATTTATTCAAAGTTTGTTATGAGTATTTTTATCTTTACCCTCGTTTTTATTTAAACTTATTTACTAAAATATTACGTATACCGACACAAAAATGATATGTAATACCAAGATGTGTGTGATAGAACGAATGTTTCTATACATATCTATTAATATGAAATTACCCACACATGTTCACTGTGTAAATGATAGTAATGTCGATGTGTAGCGCCTCGAACTAATTAGCGGTGCTTTGTGTACAATATTTTCAAACAGTCTACAATTAAACCACGAATACGTCATAGTCTAGGTAACCCGTCGCGCCGGTCACCCACTTCCAATAAGGTGCACCCAAATGTAAAATTAAGGTGACACACAAGGTAAATATCCAACCTATATACTACATTATAGATTAAAATGTCCCCATTAGTGTTTTGAATATTGATGAAGAGTCCCAGTATAAAAGCTTGGGAATGCAGGGAAACATCACATTCAAGCTTCAGCGTTTGAAACAGTCACATCTACCAGTTCTTCAACCCCCTCATCATCATGAAGTTCTACATTGTCTTTGCCTTGATCCTGGCCTGTGCTGCATGCTACGCTTCTCGGGAAGGAACTGACTTCTACTGCGGACGGGATCTGGCTATCACTATAGCTAACTTATGCTATAAGTCTGAGTTAGCTAAGCGTGATGCGGGCTGGTGGTTGCCTCCCCAAGGTATCAGGGCTCTGAACGGCGTTCGAGGCAAACGAGGGCCTGTTGACGAGTGCTGCGATAAACCCTGCTCCCTTAATGAACTCCTGTCTTACTGCTAAACTTGGTCCGAACTTACTGTTAAATGTTGATTGTAATAAATGAGATTTATCTCTAGTATTTATGTGTTTGATTAATTAAGATATATTTTTGTTTTCATGTTATATACAGACTTAAACCAATTTGGTATTTACAATAAAATTGATTACAATTACATTATTTTTTGTTAAATAAAAAATCACTACGTTTATCACCTTGTTAGCGTTCTACTGAAGTCATATGCTTAGTAAAAACTTGCAGACTTTACAATTAAGTGCCCTAAATATCGGTACTCCTCCACCTATCTTTTTGCTTTGAAGAGTGTACTAGTTTATGCGCATATCTATAGAGACAAATAAATTTGGAGTGTCTGTTTGTAATATTAAAATAACAGCTTTTTACTACATGTATATAAATAAACATACGATACATAAACCAATATATTGTTGTTTATTGTTGTCTATCTGTCTGTATTTTTGTACTGGCTAATCTATGGAATGACTAGATCGAATTTGTAAGACTTAGATTACTTTTATTTTGGAAAATTGAAATAAAAAAAAGTTATATTCTAAAATTCATACTCTACGCGGACGAAGTCGGGGAACAGCTAGTAATAAATATAATTTGCAAACTAAATAGCATTTATTAGTCTCCCCAGCATATGAGAATGTAAACTACGACTGTACGTTCCATATTCCTTCTGTCAACATTGCAGGAGCGTTTTAACTAATTAAATATCGCTCTCAATTAGCTACCAGGTTGGAATGGACCTGATTGATTAATATTTGCACATTCTTCCCTCATTTCCTTTGCCTTTATATCGCAATAAAATTCAGTAGTTTACTTGGTAGTGTGTGGTTCTGTATAGGGCAGTATTTTGTTCTACTTCTGTTTGTGAAGCGAAAAATGATTTTTTTATGGAAGAAACCGGTAAACGAGCAGACGGATCACCTGATGGTAAGCAATCGGCGCCATAGATGTACACCCGAAATACCAGATTTGTTACAAATGCGTTATCAACCTTTTGGAGATTCGGAATTTGAGGATTGTTGGGGATTCGAGAATTGGGGAGTGGCGTAATTAGGCCTCCGGTAACGATGTTCGATGAATTATCTCGTCGAGTACCGTCATTATAGACACAATTAAAGAACAATAGGTTGCGGTCACCGGTGACCGCTTGGTGTTTGACAGTTTAATAGATGGATATTTCATTATTATAATTCAATATATTAAGTTTATTTTATTCTTCAGACGTACGTTACGTAATAATCATACTGCGGAAAAGAGAGATAAAACCCGTATATTGGATACCTAAATTAAAACTAATATCACGCAGTTGTTCTATTTCATACTTTAAACTACATAATTATACTAAATAATAAACTACATAATTCTTCATCCTTCTATTAAAAAAACCGCATCAAAATCCGTTGCGTAGTTGTAAAGATTTAATCATACATAAGGACAGACAGACGTCGGATGGCGACTTTGTTTTATACTATGTAGTGACAATGTTCCTATTTTGAATCAATCTAAATGAGTTCAAAGGTAGTTAATGTATAAATTCTTCTCCAATTTATTCATTTCAACTTCTTATAAACGCCCACACAATTGTAGAAATCAATACATAAAAGATCAGCAGCGATATCAATATCATCCAATTTATACTCCACCGCAAAACTCTTCGATAATCGTAAAAAATAAGTACCTATGTTAGACCTGAAAAGCCGCAATAATTATTCAAGCACCGTTTTCGAAAGGAGCAAAAAACCGGGTACATTTATACGTAGGCTTCTCACTAGGGACTTTATAAGTGCTATGCTGACCTACAAACTGAGGCTCCCTCTGTAGGGTTACCCATATAACATTAATTTTATTGGCCAGCCCGTCTTGGTGCAAATTCCCAGTGTACTGATAAAAACTCAGCATTAATCATTTAATAAGCCAACATAAAATCCAATGGCTTACGTATCTTTACTTGAATAAATCAGATGTAAAAGTAATATTTTATTGGCTAGTTGTCCTTCAGACGGAGAAAAGGCTTTGCGAAAATCTTGTATAATGCGAATACTGAGAGAAGTACGTAACATCACGCCTTTTTCCCGGAAGGGGTAGGCAGAGGTGCACATTACAGCATTTTATGTCGCTGCACAATGTAACACCCACATTTCACTATTTATGTTATGAATCCCATGTAATAGGGGGTGAGGGTGAGCCTATAGCCATATACCGGGCCCAATTCCAGTTTTTTTAAACCCAGTAATATTTTGCCCGGCCCGGGAATCGAACCCGAGACCCCCTGCGCGGCAGTCAACGAGGTACTGATAGAAGTATATCGTACATATATGTACGTAAAGTTAAGTTGTCCATTTAAGATTTTTTCCGTTTTCCGTCGGTTAAAAAGTTACATTATTAGGCGTGCATTAATTTTTTTTTTTCGTCCTCTACAGCATTTTGAGGGTTTCCATGGTATCGCATTCCAATAGTGTAAGGGCTTTGTTTCGTAGCGGCACAATTTATGTGTTTCCAAATTTAAAAAAAAATCATGCAATCTGTCAAGTTGATTTTGTGGACATAATTTTTTGGGGACATTGTAAGTTTTCACAGTCTCTGTCGTACCCTCTTAAAGAAATAGGATATTTTTTTTACCTAATTAAAAATTACAAAGGGCGGCTATAAAAATGCTTTTTCTTTGTCACACGAAATGTATTTTTAGGATATCGAGAAAGATTTTCATGGTTCATACAATAACTTCTTGTTTTAATTTATTTATTGGAAACTTTATAAAATAATTTCGACAATGACTGCAACGAAGTTTATAGTTCTTTATTAAAATAAAATATTTTGTAGCATCGCGATGTCATGATAATCAACAGCCTATAAGTGGCCACTGCTGCCCATAGACGTTTCTCGCATGGAGATAAGATTCGAACATTAATCACCACGCTTGCTCAATGCGGGTTAGCGATTTCAAACTTATAATTAGAAATTATAAGCCCAGGTTTCCTCACGATGCCCTTCACCGTTTATCAGTGGTATCTAAATAATCTTAGAAAGTACATATAATTCGGAAATAGTCATATTGTTACTTGCCGTTGGTAGGTTTCGACCCCGCATTGCAATATGCATCAATAAATTGCAAGTTTAATTAATAAGTCACATACTCACATAATTATAAAGCTTTACATGAATATTTTTCAGGTAAATAGTAGTCGTATTTACGGCCTTTACTGTTAATTTATACATGAACGGATATTAAGCGGCTAGGTACTTAAATTTCAGCATCAGTGATGATTAAAGCCGACACGATATTGAGGCTTCGATGCGGTTTGAGGCAATATTCAGATTAACCACGCCCCCCTTTTAAAGCGCATTAATGGACTTGTTTTATTTGGTTATTTATAAATGCTGTATTTATTTTAATACTTCGTAATTATTTAAACTGTCAGACACCAAGCGGTCACCGGTGACCGCAACCTATTGTTCTATAATTGTGTCTATAATGACGGTACTCGACGAGTTAAGGTATGACTATAATTCTACTGATGGGTTGGGTAAAGTGAAGTAAGTATTATCATAACATCATCACGTCATTTATCCCCGAAGGGGCAGGCACATTACGGCACTAAATGCCACTGTAGAATGTAACACCCACTTTTCACTATTTATTTATTTATTTATTTATTTATTTATTTATTTATTTCAACTCTTACAGCTAACATTACAGGTAAATTATATAACCTAATGCGTTAGTGTGGCACTTTATACGGACATTTACTTACATTTACAAAACTAACAATAACAAATTAACAATACCTAGACTAATAAAAGCAACTTAACACTAAAACTATATCTACTACTCTAACCTATAACACAGTATATATAAAATAATCTTTGCGAGTTCATTGAACTGACACGCAAATACATCTATTACAGTCTGGATTTGGTTAATCGTACGAATTGCTCGCGTCAGAGGCGTTTTGGCCAGTAGGTTGGTCTTGGCAGCCGGGACGGCCAGCAGCGGTGG